ATAAACAAAAAATTTGTCTTCTTTATATTATATAACCCTTTTAATCCCTGTAGGGTTTAAATTTTGAAAAATCCTTTCTAAGTGGGTGTCTACAGTGCTTAAGAAACCTCTGGACAAAATTTCAAGTTTATAGACCCAGCACTTTGATGAGTGAATAGAGATGATTTCCTAAATGTATATAGATTACTAGGTATAAATGTTTATCATCATGTATAAAATATACAAATTGCATTAGCCATTAGAAATTGTAGATTGGATATTGCATTTACATTAAATTACTATCAAAGAAAACATTTGTTTTATAGATGAATAATGCAAATAATGTAGTTACTTAATTAAACATAATATAACATACGGATAGGTTAACCTATATTATTATTAATAACAATTCTTAATACTAATAAATTATAATATATCATTGTATCATTTAATATTTATTTTAAATCCTAAATCAGAAGTGAGCAATTATGATAATCAAAATTAACACTCCAAACTAAGTTTGTGATTTTTCAAAAAAATAATGTATTGGCTTGTCAGTATTTATTTTACTACAATCTACAGACTTATTTGTACACATACGTATTCATAATTTCATAGTCTAGGGGGTTAATTGATTTTTAATTGATTTATCACACATTATCACAGATAATTCATCATTCAAACTATTTTCCGTGTGATAAAACATTTTTCCACAATAATATTTTTTTTAATGCAACCGACTATGAATTGTTTTCATTAGGAAACAATAAATTTCCAAATATTTCCATGAATTTAATAAATCAAAAATGTATAATTTTGATAATTGTYAATTTGAAACAAATATTATAATAATCTTAATATTTCACAAAAACCTATAGCAAATATAAATTATAATTCTGTATTATGTACAATAAAATAGATCAGCAAATATTAATATCTAGGTATTTGATAAAATAAAAWGTATTAGTATGTATTATATGAATAAATAAGGAGCACTTTCTAATGTTTAAAATTAATTAAGTAAAAATAT